TTACTCATTAATAAAAATGGAATAATAGTGTTATCAAGCACAGAGCTGGGTAAGGGTTAAATGATACATGCATCTAAAACCCCTGGTGCTATGCTGGCACGTGGTATGCACATCTTCCATGTTCTGTGACGGTATCACCATCATCAGCATCATCATCACCATCATCATTGCCATCAAAATGACCCCCAGTGTTCCAAAGGGCCCAGTTTGTGCTAGCCACCATATCACCTTGTCAAGGTAACAAAGTAACCTCAAGAACCTGGTACCAAGGGATCAGGGCATAACCCTAACCCTGGATTCAGAATACAGGCTGCCTCACTCTGTCAAAGCCCAGGTTCTATGCCCTTCCCTATTTTCCCTGCTGGAAGGGGTCTCTCAAGCACTGTAGAGGGCGATCAGATGGGGACAGTGACCTGCATTCATCCTGAGAGTCTTGTGGTGTGTGCTGGAAGGTGTTTTGTATATTAATTTAATGAATGGAGTCCTTCAGTGGAATGAAATCTCAGAGATCTGCCCTGGCTCTCTTTGTGTGGCCACTCCAAGAGCAGAGACTCCCGGGGGGCTCGCCTTCAGTCCTGTGGCTCACAGGGAGACGGCCTCCTCCTCCCGGCTTGCTGCTCTTGATGCAACCTCATCTTCCTTCTCTCTCTCTGAGTATCTCAAAGCCAAGTTTGTAAACCGCCCCCACAAATGGCTCCTACATGGGCTTGGCTCATTAACACGCAGGCAGTAAAGTACAACAGGAGCTCCGATTTGTCATATCAAGGAGGCTATATTGCTGTGGAGAAGAACATTAAAAGAATTTATTCTAAGCTATTTCATCCAACCCCCCAGCCCCTGCAGACAAAGTCTCTTGGGACAAACCTCTGCTCCGGCACTCTCATTTGCACAGATTTCTGATAAATGTTCCCATCAGTGCCATCAGCCCTGGTGCTGCTCCACTGGGCCTTTCCCTTGGGGTCTCGGGGATTGGCTTTTGAGATGGCTTTGGGCCTTGAGCAGCCCCCATGGTAAAACATTCATCTTCATCCTTTCTCTCCTTGCACCCGCTCACTTACAGTGAAAGCCCTGGCCCAGGGAGGGATGGAGGGAGATTCCATCTCTGCCACTGAATGCCTCCCTCTTGAAACGGATCACAGCTTTTCTCTGCCCTTCTTGGTACAATCTGATATCATTGTCACCAACACCATCAAAAGAAAGCCCCTTTATAGATTGTATTGTACAAATGGAATTGCCTAGATATGGCCGACTTCGCCTATTTGGAGCATACAGCATATTTACACAGTGCCATGGAGCATGGGTGAAGGACAAGCCCAGGACAAGATTAAATCAGCAGACCAAAAGTTAAATGAACAGCAATGCATTAATATCGAATACATCTCTGAGCGTAAGTGCCACGTGGGGTGGAAGGCAGGGAAAAGGGCATGAATGCAGGGTCAGTGGGACCAGAATGACTGATGTGGGGGTCAAGGGCAGGCATTTCCTCCAAGGTTAGCACCAAAGAGCAATCTCCATAAGTGAAAGGAAGGCCGTCCATGGTCCTCGCTGTTCTCTTAGTGTCATTAACATCCTGTTTGAATCAGTGAAAACAAAATGGGGAAACGGCCAGTTGCAAGGTTTGGGGGGTATACATTATCATTGAATTCAGGCTGGGTGGGGACTTCTTAATTTAGATATCAAGTGCCAGGCCAGGGAACTTTGTCCAGGGCTCACTCTAAAAAAAGAGTTATGCTCAAGGTTGGCAGGAGGAAGCCGAGAGAATGAAACCAAATTCTCTCAGAGGGGATGGGGCTCCTTTGCCACTGAAACCTTCCAGAAGAGGTGGGGCTCAATGTGGCCTCGGAGCTGGCTGAGCTGAGACAAGGCACGACTGAGGCCCACACTCTAAGACTTCAATGGGGAAGCCCAAGCGGGGTACCCTGTATCCCGCCACCCCCTCCCAACACCTGCATGCCTGGAGAGAGGATGTCAGCCTCCCGTGGCTCCTTTCTCAGTCTAGGCTGGAGCAGAGTCTGAGAGAATTGAATTCCCTCCTCCATTGCTCCTGGGGCTGCTAATTCATAGTTGCATTAGCTTTCATTTGGATAACAGCATGGGGGATTGTCAGATACCGGCTCTGACCAAATTTAATCTACAGGCTGTGCTCTGCCCTCTCTCCACTCGTCTTTTATTCAAAACCCTAATGAAGAGATTTATCCGATTGGTTTACCAGAGTCCTATCTGGAATGAATAGCTCCAGCCCTCCTCGCTTCCGCCGCTCTGCTGTCCACTCCAATCAAGGGTGGGGGCCCTCGCAACTCTCTCAGTTGTGAAACAAATTAAATCTCGCTGACAGACTCTATCTGCCTCGAGTTCTCCATTATGCTTCGCTTTTGGTTTGCTTTCACAATGACAAAACTGCTTTGACACGTTCGCAGATTCTCAGGGCCGTGTTCTCTGCCGCCCCCAGCCCCACCTCACTGCTGTCCAGTGTAATTTTTGTAGTGACAAAACCATGGCGATCCTTCTCAGGCATCCCAGCGTCTATAGCTCTTCCTCTACATATCAGCAACATTCAGCCATGAGTGCGGATCGGATGGGCTGTGTGGGAGGCGCGAGAACACCTCCACTTATTTCCTGGAGGGATGGCAGAATGATCTCTGTGCCTTCTTGCTTCACTCTCCTTCCAGCCAGGCCACCCAGGCTTTTAGAAGGAAGCCCTTCTCCCTCTGAGTCTCCAGAAGGTCCCTAGAAGAATGCGGCCTGGGGCCATTCAGTAACATTTTAATCTGTACTTGCAATTTAGCAAATCTTCAGATATGTTCCCCCAGGCTGTGGGGAAACACATCTCAGGTTCCCCCTGGTGCCTTCAGGGGAAGCTGCTAACCTACCTCCACCCTGATGGCCTCATTAGACTCACAACGGATGTTCCCCTCCTCCACTGGGGTTCCTCTATTTAAGCCTTCCCATCCTCTCAGGACAGCTGAAAAAGGAGGGGAAAAAATCCTGGGCACATCATCATCATCACAATGGTGACAACATAAGCATGTTGATGATTACAAATTCTGCATTCTCAGGCTTCTGTTAGTGCTTTGAGAGTTGCTTTATTGGAATTAATAATTGCAACGATATTGGTCATATTCATCACTTGAGGTCCATTTTTTTTTTTTTTTTTGAGGAAGATTAGCCCTGAGCTAACATCTGTGTCCATCCTCCTCTATTTTATACGTGAGCTGCTGCCTCACCATGGCTTGATGAGTGGTGCTAGGTCTATGGTCAGGATCCAAACCAGCACACCCCGGTCTGCCGAAGCAGGGTCCACAAACTTAACCACTGTGCCACCTGGTTGACCCCCATTAAGGTCCCTTTTAGCTCTAAAACTCTATTCATTCATGAGTTCATTCATTCATTCATTCATCAAACACATATTGAGTACTTGTCATGTGTCAGACCTTCTGCTAAGAGTTCCCTGGACTAAAGTCCTGAGGCAATGGGGCTGCAGTAAACCAGGGTAGAGGGGAAATGAGACCAAATGCTTCCTGGGTGCAGGTCCTCACACACCCTTCTCACTTCTTGCTTTGGTGTCCCCCACAGTCACCATATCTTCTCTACCCTGGTCCCTGTTCCTACGTAAATTCCCTTTGACCAACCCAGCATATCAACCAGAAAACAGAGAGATGTGCTGTTCAAGGAGAACTACCACTCCCCTCCCCAAATGGCCCTGACCTCTTTCATCGTGTTCCTGGCCCCCTTCCTGTACCCTTCCCATAACCCATGGCAATGCTGCTACATTGGGACCTCCTCAAATCTCAAATTCTGAGCTGGCATTCTAGAAATTCAGATAGAATCCGGAATCCTAACCAGAACTAATGAGAATTCTGAACTGAAACCCAGAGTCCTAGAACTGGGGCTCAAGCCTCTGTGAGCACAGAACACTTAGCTTAGAGCCAGCACTCAGGCTCCTGTTCTTCCCCTGAAATGACGGTAAAGCCCCTGAAACTGCAAGATAAGTCACCCCCTCAGACAGTGGCCTCCAGGCTCTGCAACTGGCCATCCTGCCTTGTCCCTTGGAAGGGAAGTTTTGGTTGATATGACATGCTACCATACTGGGAATTACAAGACCTGGCTACATGCACTGGGTCCCCTAGCCCAAACCACCTAACCTCTCTGGGTCCCAGCTTCCTCTTGAATAAAATGCTATTCTCCTTTATTTATGCATGCGTGATCAGAAAAGGATTTATAGGCTGTGCCTAGGAAATCTACAGGCTAGACTAGATGTTCAGTCAGGTGACTTTCCACTCTAAAATTCTACAAATTAATTGATTGATTTCTTTAACATATCTTGAGAACATGGTTTATGTCAGTCACTATGATAAGAGCTCACAGAATATGTTCCAATATCCATAACAGGAAGGACATCACTTAGCAATAAGATTAGATGACTATAAAATATCAAATGCTTGGATATCTTAATAATAGGTATAATAACAATTATTGCTATTATTAATGTTATAGTAATTATGTACCAGGCATAACATATTAAATGTTCTACATGGCCTTTTGCGATTTATCTGCACAAAATAACCATATAAGGTAGATGTTATTGTACAGACGTTATTCAACCAACATTTATTGTGAGACGAGGATGTGACAAGTCTTGTACTAGGGACTGGGTATAACCACACAGATATGGCATCTCCAGGCATAGAGGGATTAAATAACTTCCCAGCACAGAGCTAGCAAGTGGCAGAAAGAATCATAAATCTGGTCTGTCAGGCTCCAGAGCCCAGGTTCCTAACTGTTAACCATCCTCCCTACCTCAGCTTGGTTGATGAGCTTTATACTGTCTGCCAAAGCCAGTGTTCGTGAGTCAATAGCTTACTCACTCCTATTGTCCTTTCCCCACTGAGATTCTCCCACTCGCGAGCTTAACTTCCCCACAGTGGCCCTCTACTTATGAAATAGCCACTTTGTATTCTCCCCGCTTCACTGGCTCTCGCTTTCAATTGCCACCTGAACACTGCTATTTTCTTCTTGTCTTCCACTCTTTGCTCTCTCCTTCACCTCTCCTATAACTCTGTAAAATATCTGTGAATTGGCTAAACTGAAGGCCTCTACCGTGGTCTGATTCTGGAGGTGCAAACTGTGAACTCCTTTGAAGATACCAGCGGCACATTACAGAGCCCAGAGCAGAAGTAGAGACAGAGAATTCCAGAAAACCTTTCAATGAAGCCAAACATGTGGGTGCCTTAGTAGGTTTTGAAATTGGATGTCCCCTTCCTGTCTTGAAACCACATTCGATTGGACAGTGTAGTGAAAAGGAAAAGCATGAATAACAACTGAGTTGAGTTACACATGCACACAGTGCATACCAATGCCTTTTAAAGATACAGAGCTCTGAGACAGCTTCTCACATATGTGGGAGATGATATGGCAGACAATGGAGAGATGGGTCTTGTGGGGGACTGGTCTTGGCCATGCCAAGATATATCTCTTTGGCATGAGGATTATTTGAAGCTGATTGCTTTGGATAAACTGGGACAGGGAAGGAGGCTCTGAGGGGTGGAACTTGCTTGCCCTTTGTTAGGAGACATTTACACTGTAAAGGAAATGTCTATCTGTAAAGGCGCCTCCCTCTCTGTACCAGGAAGAAGAAAGGGGATGACCCTCTCTCTAGAAACTCTTAATCAATGCCAAAGGCAGGGACTTAAATCTGCATTTTGTTTACTGTACTTGTGTGGTAATCTCCCATGATGACTACCCCTCCACCCCCAACATCCTCCTTTGTCGTTGGCTGAGACGATTTAAGGTGAGGGCTTCAGCCATTTTGGCAAGTTGCTCAGCTTGCCTGAGCCTTCCTTGTATACGTGTTATAAACCTTTGTTTAATTTTCTCCTGCTATTCTGTCTCATGTGAATTTAATTCATTCTCCGGCCAGACGAACCCACATTAGATAGAGGAAAAGTCTTCCTCCCCTACAGTCTCTATAGACTGGAATAAGACCGAAAAACTATCTCATGGCTCTTTGCATTACTTAAAGAAATCTGGAAATGTTAATTTCATAATGCACAGCATCATCTTAGTGAGTTTTTCAAAAAAATGCCTTGCTCTTTCAGACCAATCTGATGTTGCTGCAGTCTTTGATCCCAGTCCAGATGGATGACTTTTAGAAGCTCTGCAGTTGTTTAAGCTGTTGGGAAGCATGATGCTAGAATGGGAAGTGGACCAGCCCTCACATATCATGAAGCTAGGAGATGTTACTTGACCAAACATGGCATCAAGCTCCTCAAGAGTTAACTCAGATATCCCAACTTCTACTTGGCTATCCCAAAACTCCAACACAGCTCATTATTTCATAAGAGGTGTTAAATATGAATTGTTCATTAAAACACATATTATTATTGGATGTTTAACTACCATATAATTGATTTTCTATCCATTGCCTGGTGGTTAACCCTCAATAAATGCTTTTCGTAATCAACTTAAAGTGCAATACCTAGCACGCTTGATATCTTTCTCCTTTGATTTAGCAAGAAACCAATTCTATATTATTGAAATTGTATTTGATCATTAAGAAAACCCATCAAGTTTCAAGAACAGCATAAGAAACCTCTCTGGCATGAATCTGTCCCCCTTCATAGAAGGATCCCAGTGCAATTGAGAGCTCAGGGGGACCTAGATCCTGTTCCAACCATTGTGATGTTAGCTAAGGTCCAGGACAGTCAGATACTATGCTCATAGCTAGAAAGACAGTGGAGCAGGACTAGAGCTACCAGGCTGAGAGCCTGGTTCACAGTCCCACATCCTGATGGAAGGAGCAGCTCCTCCCCAGCGTTGAGAGATCAAGGCCACTAGGAGGGTTTCAGGCTTCCCAAAGAACGTCAAAAACAATTAAGGATTAATATGCATTTAAAAGACCCATTGGGTTCAGTTTTCCTTCTTCAGAGCTTTGTCCAATCGTATTTCCCCCTTTCTTCAAAATCCTCCTAAAAATCCCACCTCCTCAGGAAGCCTGCTTTGACTGAGTGGGAGTAAAAGTTGACTGACCCCATCCATAGGGTAAACAAAGTGGAGATGTTTTGTTCAACTCCAGGGAGGCAGATGGCTGGGGGTGGGGACAGCAATTTAGAAGCCAATGTAGGGGATGGGAGAGAGGAGACATCTCTAGCTGGTCCTCAAAAACTCTAAAGCGTTCACAGACTAGCCAACCCTTCCAGCTTCCAAAACACACTCACATACCCATACATACCACAAAACACGCAGGGCCGAGTAAATAATAAATGAAATAATACATGTAAACCTCTCAGAAAAGGCACAGAGCAAGTGCTGAAAACGTTAGCTATTACTGGTTTTCTATATTAATATTTATTATTAGACAACATGGTTTTCCATTCATTTAATCTCCTTACTGCACACTGAGAAGAATGTTATACATTTATTTATTAATTGGCTGATTCATTTATTTCCTTAGATAAACTGCGAAATACAAATTTGCTGATCAGCAGGTGTGATTTTTGGTGAGTTTTAAGACATCTAAGTCAATCTCTCTAGAAGTGCTATACATAAGTGGTATATGAGCTTACTGGGTGCCATGGATTAGGATTCTTTGTAAGGTGGTGAGTCTCCTGTCAGAAGAAGCTAGCATGAAGCAGCAGAATGACTCCCAACTGGAATTGTTGTAAAAGGAGTTTAGTGATTTGTAGGCAGTTGGACTCTCAGGTCTCTTACAGTTCTTAAATTTTATGATTCGGATTCTTTTGGAACACTGAAATGGTGATCCACATGCATCTTCAGGCGGAGTGACCTACAGGTGTATTTCAGATTCAAACCATAACAGGCAGCTTAGCTTCCTCCCTGGATGCTCTCACCCTTGGAGATCAAAGGCTGAGCATTTCCTCATTCAGTCTGTGACAAAAGAGAAAGATTGCCTGAGCAGCATGTCGTTATTAGACAAATAGGAATCCTCTTCTCAAAAGGCATTCTCTTCTGCATGGTGAGTGGGAAGCCCGCAGTATTTAGGACACATTCCTAAAATAAAATTCAGTGGCCACCAAATGAGTCAGTGTAGGAGCCTTCTTTCTCCACGAGAGAAGAAGGGCTGCTAAGAATGGCAGGAACCACCCACAGATGGTCTGGGTACCAGTTGCATCAACAGATGCATATACAACACAGCCCTTTTCTTTGAAGCATCCAGCCAAGCTCACATCGAGTTCTCCACTGTGTACATTAAACCAAAATAAATAATCCAAGAAAATCTGCATATGTCTATGTGTTTGAGGTCCAGGATAAATCATGCAATAGGCTCAAGAGGAATTTAAGACATTTGGCCACTGTTTTCTTCTTCCTTCTGGTTTGTTATTTATGGAAATCTAAGCATTAGATCACTTTCCAGCTTTAAAATATACAAGGGTACCCACCGTTCCTAATACCAAAGCTAATCTCTGCTGGCTGGTGGTCAAGATCCTATCCAATCTGACCCCCTTTACTTAACTAATTTCATGTCTTATAAATGCTCCAGCTCAACCAGGCTGGTCTCCTTACTATAGTCACCTTTCTCCCATCATTCATTCTTATTTCTACCTTCAGGTCCCTACTCATGCTTGGTGCATTACAAAAGAAGCCTACACTTTCCTCCTCCATGTAGGAAAATATAGCCTTCTCTAAAATCCAGCTGGTGATGCCTTTGCCAGCTGGCGCTTATCTGGGCTGATCTCTCTCCTCTCCCATCTCACATTACACAGATAAGTGTAGGGGTGGGGAACCACACATCTGCATACTTATCTTAGGAATTCTGGAAAGCTTGGACTAGTTACCAGGCGTACCATTTGCATAGAGTACCTAAACTTCATCACCTAAAGTGATGAAGCAGACCTAGGCTCAAGGACTCTTGGAGAACAAAGATCAACTCTCCCAAATGAAGGGGAGTTTCCAAGACTAGTCCAGTTTAGAGAGAGGATTCCTGCCCCATGAGGGTGGAGAAGTTACTCAGAGTGGGAGAAAGTTCAAAGATATCTGTACTCTTCACAAAAAAACAGCTTCTGGATGGCAGAGAAAAGTGTTCCCAAGTACAATACAGACATTATTCAAATCATCTTTGGCAAAGCCCTAGAATTCTGTTCCCAGATATCTGGGTTTGAGATGGATGTGGACAAAAATGTTTACTATATAGTCCCTAAAACCCATAGTTCAGAAAAGGGGCGATTTCTTCTGTGTGAGCTTGGTCTGGAAAACCTCGTGTGCACAGAGGCATTTCAGTTGAACACTGAAGGAAGGGTAAGTTTTAAACAAATGAAAGAACAGAGAGTGTCTCACTTTGACAAAAGCTGGTATTTTCTCTTGGACAGCTCATCTTTGAGATGTACACACTTAAATACATTCACTCTTTGTTTTAATAAGAAACATAGGCATGATAATGGACTTGGACCCTCAGAACCCCAAAAGAAGGACGTCAGCTCCCTATATAGATAGATTCTGAAAACCTGTCAAAAGAAGAATTGAGAATTCTAATGGCTAATGGAATGTTGAAGGTGCATTTTAAATCTGGTTCACAAGGAGATAAAGATGACCTCCGGCTGGTTGCCTAAGCTCCATGAGCCTAAGTCTGACCATTTGTGAAAACAAGGTTTAGATTTTGTGGGGTTGTTATGAAGCCTAAAAACATGCAACAAATGGTGGCTATTACATAGAAGAGTCTAGTATTCAGTTGCGAAAACCATGCTGGAGTTGCAAGAGAGGTCAGAGCAGAAGGTACAAAGTTTAGAAGTTGTCCACACAGGGGAAGGCATGACACTGTGGTGCCTGAGAACAGCTGAGCTCTGTGAAAGAGAGAGGAGATTAATAATGAAGTACTAAAGATAGATAGATAGATAGATTTGACAACTCATCTTTAAGGTTAGGAAGAAAAATAAATGAGCAATTAGGGAGAAATTAGGAGAGCTGGACTAGTGAAGGGACCTGGAAGCCAAGAGAGAACCTCCAGAAAGAAGTTGATCAGCACGATTAAATGTAGCAGAGTTTCAGAGCATGCAGACTGAGGAAAAGCCAATGGATTTAGTGTGGTAGGTGCCAAAGATCAGTGAGTAGATGAGGGGACCCAATTTAGCAGATCCACGGAGGAGCCTGGGGAGACGTATGATTTAAAAATTCCTTGGCTGATTTTGGTGGTAGACAGATTTGAGAATCACTGCCACAGACTATTTTTAAAGTAATTTGGCTATAAACGGTTGAAAAAAGATAGAAGATAGAGGAACGATGAGGATTTAGAAAAAAATGGAGTTTTGTTTGTTTATGACCCAAACACGTTGACAGCCCATAGCCTATAGCAAAGATCAGAGATCGAAGATGCCAATGTGGGCCCGGTGACCAGGGATGGCATGATTAGTGTGTTAGTTTCCTATTGATGCTCTAACAAATGACAACAAATTAAGTAGCTGAAAACAATAGCAACTTATTATCTTACAGTTCTGGAGATCCCAAAACAGAAAATGGATTGGCAGGGCTGTGTTCCTTCTGGAAGTTCTAGGAAGAATCTATTTCCTTGATTTTCCCAACCTCTAGAGGCTGCCTGCATTCCTTGCCTCGTGGCCCCACATCACGCCAACCTCTTCTCTGACTCTGTCCCTCTTGCCTCTCTCGTATAATGACTCTTGTAGTTACATTGGGCCCACTCACATAATCCAGGATAATCTGCCGATTTTAAGATCCTTAACCAAATCTCATCTGCAAAGTCACTTTTGACATGTATGGTAAAGATTCACAGGCTCTGGCGATAGGATGTGGACATCTTTGAGGGCCATCATCTGTCTACTACAAGAGGTAAAGCCTTGGAAGGTATAAGGATAGCCTTGGAAGAGAAGAGCCACATGTACCTTTTTCTTTAAGATAAAATAAAAGAAACAGAAAAGGCCTGACAATCCAGAGATCTGAGTTTAAAAAAAAGAGACAGGTACATCAAGAGAAATGCTTTGGACATTTGATAATGGACTCTCATATATTTGGATTTCCTCTAATCAGAAGCTTCAGAGGGGCAGGAACTGTCTTACATTTTCCAGTTTATGGCCCATAGCATCAGGCTTATTGCAGAACACACAGCGGATGCTCAGGAGCGCCTTACGGACCAGCGTGAGTGTTGGGCATAAGGAGGAAGTTATGGGGGTATCTGCTACTGGCAGATGTGTGTATTCTACATAGGAATGATTCAGAGAGTAGTAGGCAATCCTGAACAAAAAGATTTTGTTGTGTCAGGGCACTATGATTTGAGGCCAAGATCCCAACGAGGAATACATGCCTACCTCATCATCATCATGGAAGGACTAATGCACTCCACGCATCAAGACAGATGTGCCAGTCATTATGTTGGCATATGAGACACTGTAGACAAAACAACCCAAAGGAAAACCAAGCCTCTGAACAATGGAAGAGAAGGCGGGAGCCACAAATTGACTGGGATCCAATCCATCCTGCAGAGAGGCAGAGGAATTGGCCAAATGCTCCCTGGATATCCTTTCCGCTTTACTAAAGTCTGCAGCAATGAACTCATCTTGGGGAAAGGAGCAATTGACCCAAGGAAAAAGCAAAGAAGAACCAAAACTATACTTAAAAAATAAGCCGATGATGAGCTAAAGATTCAAAATTAGCTAGGACAAGTATAAATGTATTTTCCTATATATTTGTTCTATAGGACATGGTTGAAAAAAGATAGGAGATACAGAAACAATTAGAACAAATAGAGTTTTGTTTATTTATTTATGATTTAAACTTATTGATAGTCCAAAGAGAAGAGCCTGTAGGAAGATCAAAGAGGCAAGTGGAAGTTAAACACACATATTTGAGAGAGAGAGAGAGATGCACCAATCCACTAACTCTGATGACAAGACCAAAAGGCTGATTGCTAACAAAAAATAATCAAATTGGTCACCGATTTTTCACAAAAGAGTAATTCTTACACATTTAAACCACAGGCTAGCAAGAAAGAGTTTTCATGAGTTCTGCCTCTCACAGGTCTCTCAAATGGCTTTTCTGATATACTGTTTTTATATAAATTCTGCAGTAACTTTTCCCCGGTGTTATTAGTTGTTTGGGTTTTTCTCTGCCTGCCAGGGGCTTATTTATGTTATCCTGATTTAGATCTTTTCTGTCCCCTTTCTTTCTTTGCTGGGGCTGATTTCATAGTACAACCCACTGAGTGTCATACAGACAAGATGCAGGTCTGCCAGACGTGTGTGTGTGTGTGTGTGTGTGCGTGTGTGCATTTGTATGCGTGCATGTGCATGCGTGCGTGCATGTTTGTATGGAGTCTAAATTCTCACCAGGGCTGTGAACATCTCCCGAATCTTACGTAATTCCTCGAGGTTTCCGAATGAGGGGACCGAGGTATGGAAGTCATCACCGGAGGTACAGGAGAAGGTAGAGTGGGCCACTGCCTGGGCCCAAGGGAGGGTTAGAGAGGAAGTCGGGAAGTTCCTATCAGTTCTCTCAAAAAAAAATGGTTGCCTCAGATTTCACATTTTATTTTATGGTCACATTAGAATTGAGTTCAGACATATTTTGTGCTATTACAGCTGATTGATTATTTATCACTTCAATGGAGAATTTATTGATTTACTTAATATTCATTGCTGATAACATAAGGATCTGCAAAATACAAATTGCCTGGGGGCTCAGAACTGCTTAATTCTGCCCTGCCTTTCTTGCACTCTCCTAGCTGTCTCCCACCCCATCCCCATGTCCCCATCCAGCCCTGCAGACAGGCCAGGCAGAGCAGATGGCGCAAGACCTTGCCTTTCAGTCCCTGGAGGAAGGGAGATAGTCTTCTCACCTCAGCTCAAACCTCAAAAGACAGCTTAATTTACATTACATTTCAACCTAGGAAAGGGCCTTAGAGGTCATCTGCTTCAACATCACTGGCAGTTCATTTTAACAGTCATATACTGAGTGCCTACATGGTAGGCTTCACCTATATATTCGGCCTGGCTGACCCTTGAACAGCTCTATCAGAACGTTCTTTCTCATAGGAGGCAGAAATGTCTCTCCTGGTGTGCTCACTGTCATGGAGTGAGCCATTCAGGCAATGGACACAAAAAAGAAGAGTCAGCTGAGACACAATATGTAGGAAACAGTCCTGTCTTTTGCTTTCTCCCTCATCGGCACACCTAAACGTGGTTGATATAAATATGATATATGTGCCTCAACTCAGCCAAAGCTGAGAGGTCAGCAGGAGCAGAGGAATTGACCGCTCACTGCACTGGCCTTGCTCTGATTACATCAGCACCCAGAGCCATGTCTGTCTGTGGGGGACTGCTGCGGCCACGTGGCATTTCGCTATAGTCTTCCTGTTGCCCTTGGCTGGAAGCATGAATTAGGGGAAGGGGCCAGCAGGGTAATGAGGTAACGGAGGAGATGGAAAACTGAAAAGCAAGTTGCCTTAACCCCTAAAGAAAGAATTTCTCTAGCAAATAGCAATCGCTTTGAAGGCAATTGACAGAAAGCTGGCTTAATCCTTGCTCTGGAGATCCTTAGAGCTGCCCGTGGTTTTTAATTAATACACTGGGCTCCCTAACAAAGGGGAGGAGGTTGGAGAGCATTAACAGATTTACTTACCCAAGCCCAGGAAAGCGCTTTGCAGGAAATGGCCTGGCTGCCTGTGGACCTGCCTCTGCCTTCACCCTCCCTTCCCCGTGTTTCAAGGCCCTGGGTGGTCCTTCGTGGACCCCAGGGGAAGGCAGGTTGTCCTGTAGTTTGGGTAGGCCAGGGAAACTTCCCTGTCTACACTTCGTTCCACTCTCTCCCAACCCATTCCTTCCTTACATAATGCATTCACTGATTCCACAAATATTTATTGAGTAGCTACTGCACACTGAGCAGGCACGGTGTCTAAATTGAGGAACTATGCTTGCATCAAAGCCTTGACTCAGGTGCCGAGGCTTTATTGAGTATAAAAACAAACATGATCCTCATCTTCAGAAAGCTTAGGCTAGTGAGAGAGATGCATTCAGAGCTTATATTCTGGATGGCTGTATTGGGTTCTTAGCTGTTGTCCATTCCAACTGTCTGTTCTGGTTGGTCAGTGCCATCGATACACCAGTTACTAAATAGTTTGAATATCACCCTGGAAACATGAATTGAATAATTACACAAATAAAAGCAAAATGTACAAAGTTCTATGAAGAAGGGGACATGGAGCTATGGGCCCATGATGCCACCAGGGACACATGCCAAAGCCTCCAGGCTGTGCTCTGTGTTGAGTCCCACATACGCTCATCTGCTTGCAAGTCCTGCATCCCATTGCCACCAGCTCCCCAGACTCTGGCTTGCCTCTCTGCTTCAGTCATTCATCTGTCCTGTTCCTTCGTTTATACATTCATTCATTCATTCCTCATTCCCTCACTCAGCCAATGAGCACTGGTGAGAAGCCGGGCACTGAGCTGTGCCCTGGGAGCACAATGTCTCCCGGACCCTTTCAGAGCCGGGGCACAGCTCTCCTCCCCACCCTTCCGTGGCAGGATCTTTCTCTTTTGGTTAGTGAATCTGATGTCAGAGTCATTCCGTCTGACAAAGTCTCTCCTCGTCTGAAACTCCCTGTCTCCTCATATCTTCATCAGTCCATTTCCACATGTCTAAGCATTTTAATGGCATATGGTTCCAGGGGGGAATCTCCAAATGAGAGAAAATTAGCAACTGTGCTTATTGGGCTAAAGAAAACGACTGGAGGGGAAGTTTTCTTTAAAAATACCCAGAAGAAGCAGCAGCCCAAGAAGATGTGACTGCAATAAAAATGATGATTTTTGTTAGAGGTGGTTGTGGGGGTGGATTATCAGCTGCATTTTCTTTCCCCTGGAATGCGTCACAGTCATTAATTTGTTTAATTTATTTTTTGCCTCTTCCCTAGTGAAGCAGCCCAATTCACTGTCGGCCTACCCATCAGAACAAATTGCACTTTGGAAATATCCGAGCGCTTCAACTTTCCATTAAATATAATAAGAAATCACAATGTGCTGTTCTGGCCTGATGAGTCCTCGCCAAGGATCTACAAGCACTTTTTACAATTGCTACCAGGCAATTGCTGCTGTCACCCTCGGTGTCACAGAGGCAGGAAAACAGGCCCATGACCACCAGGCACTGTATTAATTTGTGCTCGTGTGGGAGCCTCTTGGGTGGCGTTCTTACTCTGCTTCACGTGTGTATGATCTGATTCTGCAGAACAATTTCAGAGTCTTCATAGAAGGGGCCACCTTTTCTGCTTCTTTGGTATCTACCCCCGTGCCTCAGTTAACCCCACTGGGGCCCAGCCAATGGCTGCTGTCGACTGATGAATTCACAGAGCTGAGCCCCATGAGGACAGAGGTGTCAGTGGTTCATGGAAGCTGGCCTTCTACCTTCCAGCCTCTGTGACTTATCACGTGCTCATCTCTCTTCCTCCCCCGACTCTCCTGCTTCTTGCGTATAAGATGGTAAAAACTGCTCACTACTGCAGATCAGTCTTTGCTAAGGAACACCGCTAATTGATAATTACATTTCATTTTCAGGATGTTATCTTACTTGCGGAGATTGGAAATTGAAATGTCCAGGGGTTACACATATGGTATATATGGTTCTTTCCAGTCAGAGATTAATTGTCAAGTATTAATATTTAATTTTTTTTTATTGCAAAAGCTTGTCAAAGGTTTCCAGGAGAAGGTGAGAGCTCAGAGTCATCTTACCTGATGCTCAGCATATCCAAGAACAGCACTGCCGCTGTGCAATTTCTGAGTCCAAGAAAGAGAATGAGATGCAAAGAAAGGTTGGACCATGACAGTCTAGTGAGTTATTAGATGGGAGAAGTTTCTAAGAAACAGGAGACAGATTGGCCCTGTTGCAGGTCACGGGCTGCCTGCTGAGTCAGTGCTGGCTTCTGCCTGGACAGGAGACAGACGTGAGGCCAATCCTTGACCTCTTCCTACACAGGCGGTTAGGGGTAACCTGGAGGACCAGGTTGGCATCAACAGACCTGGGTTTCCTGGCAGCTTTACCACTCAGCAGCAAATCAACCTCAAGGAACTTTTGTTGCCTCTTCTGTAAAATGGGCAGGGTGCCATCTGTCTGGAGGACCGCTGTGTCCCTCACTAATGACATTGGTCAATGGTGTGCTACTTCACAGTTTACGAAGAGCAGTGAAGAACAAGAGACCTCTATCATCTCTAAAGCATTGCGGCTTCTCGTGATCTCAAGCGGATTGAAGTTTTCGGCTTGTTGGACGGTCTCAAAGGATTGCGGGAGGAGTGAGAGGAGATGACGCACGTGGAGGACAGGGCCTGGCACTTAAATGTTAACTTACCCCTCTCCTAGTTGCAGTTTAGAATTTTAAAAAATAAAGTAAAAGGACATCTGGGAATATGATTATGAAAGAATAATTGTGGGATCATGACCATTCATCAAGCACAAAGACAGCATGTTGGAAATGTGGGGATGTCCCCAGAGGAGCCCAGATCCTAAGTGAAGTTGACAGGGGCTGGTGCTCCGTGGAAATACCTTCCTTCTGACATTGGGCAAATGTCTATAAGAAGCTCCTCTACTGGAGCCCACTTCTCATTCTCAGGCTTGAGGGACCTCTCCCTCACCGGCCAAATTAAGTGATGTTGTGTAAGAGGAACCCACATTCAGGACCCTGAGACTGGCCAGCACTTTCACCAGCCCCATCTCTACCCACGGGCACGTTCATTCACTTGTCCATTTTATCCCGGGACATGCCTGCCTCTTTCACTAAATTTGATGATGTGGAATCATCTTCGTCTGTGAACTCTCCTACAACACCTAGCACAGCACCTTTCACACTGAGCTTTTGCTCAATCATGTTAATGTGTGCACACGAATGCAAACACTCATGCAAAACCTCCCCAGAAAAGGTGGTTAAGGTGGTTTTGGGGATTATTCACACAAATGAGAGAATTTCTCCTATCTCTGTTACCTTCTCTGTTCTGTGCTCCTTCCTTTTCCTCTGCATGCCCCCTGTGATGGTTAATTTAATGTGTAGCAATCTTATTGGTCCACACGGTGCCCAGATATTTGGTTAAACAGTAGTCTGGGTATGTCTGTGAGGGGGTTGCTGGCTGAGATTAATATTTAAATCAGTAGACGGAGTCAAGCAGATTTCCCTCCCTAATGTGTGTGGGCCTCATCCAATCAGTTGAAGGCCTGACTAGAACAAAAAGGCTGACCCTCCCACGAGGAACAGGGAACTCCTCCTACCTGACTGCTTGAACAGAACATCAATTTTTTCCTGCCTTTGGTGTCGAACTGAAGCTTTGGCTCTTCCTGGGTCTCATCTTGCTGACTTTTGGACTGGAACTCACACCATGGCTCTACTGGGTGTCTAGCTGATACATGGCAGATTGTGGAACTTCTCGGCCTCCATAACTGCATGAGTCAATTTCTCCTAATAATTCTCATTCTCTCCCTCCCTTTCTCTCTCTCTCTCTCTATATATATATCTTCTATTGGTTCTGTTTTTCTGGATAATCCTAATAGACCCCTAAACGTTGGTTTTTATTAGGGTTTTCTCTTGGCATCTTTTCTCCTTACTCCACATGCTGTACTTGGGTAATCTCATTTACTCCCATGGCTCCAACCACAACCCTTATGTGGAAAAGTCCAAACCCTTCTCTTTAGTTCAGATCCCTTCCAAGCTCCAAGCTCCAATATCATACATTCAACTATCAACCTGCTACCCCTCCCTGGACATCTCCAAGGTGCCCCACAGGCAGCCTGCCCAAAGGAGATGACAGCACTCTCTGCACAAACCTACCTCCCCTCTACTAGTCCCTAATTCACGGAACGCCCCACTTTCTACTCTGTTACCCGCACTTGGGGCCAGCCAGCTGACACTCCCTAAACCCAACTAGTGCTCAAGGACTGCAGACTTGACCTCCTGTGTCCCCTCACATCTAAACCCTCCCCTCCCTGTCCATCAGCACTGCTTCAGGTCATTCTTCATTGCCTCTTGTAAGTGATTATTGCACATGGTTGTATGAGCCTGTCTTTCCGTGCTAGATTCTGTCCTCCTTCTGGGCAGGATTCCCAATTGATCCATTTTTTTTCGAATCCCTTAGTTCCTAGCAAAGTACTTGGCGAATATCAGATACTTAATAAATGGTTGTTTGAACAAGTGATTGAATGAATGAATGACTTCCCTTAGAAGTCCATGGGGAGTAGAGAAGGCAGAGCATCTGATGATAACGTGGTATGACTGAAGAGACAAGAAACAGACAAAGAAGTTAATTTATTTGCCATAAATAAATAAAAGGCAAATTCTCCTTGAAGAAATCTGAAATGAGGAAAACAGCGACAAGCAGTTATTTTAAGAGCAGGCTAGCTAATACCCTAAATACCCCCCGTGGGACAGGACAAACTCCACTATAAAAGGTTTTGTTTGTTTATTTGTTTTTCTTTTTGTTTGCCATTTTCAGAAACGGAGCTTGGGACAGCGAGACAAACCCAATCTTCCTAAAGAGGCCCTAGGGTATATTTAAAGCTCTCCCAGCACGCGCTGCTTGGGATCTCAAGGCTTCGATTCAAAGGACCAGTACAGGGCAAGACTCCTGAAGCTCGATTCATCAAACTCATTTAAGATGGATTTGGTTTGAATTGTGGTTCCAGGCAGCTGCTAACAGTCCAGAGACCAGACTGCTGAGTTGGCTCCTGGATGGAAACAACTCAGTCCAGGATACCTAGAAAAATGTGGGATAGAAAGCTGACAATGAAGCTAAAAATTGAGACAACACAGACCCTATTGTGAATAACTGCAAAGCCCCCTTCCCTTTCACCTTCTCATTAAGGTATTGTCCTCAGCTATTTGGAAAAATCTAGGTTAAAAAAAAATATAGGTTTTTCTAGCCTGAATTACTGACAGGACTGACAAAATAATGGAGAAGAGAGGGGGAGCCGTAGGAGAGATCTTGCCTTCCAACACTTAGTTTTCTGAAATGAATGAACTGCAAGCCTTCTCCCTTACCATTCTTCATCAAACAGACACACACACACACACACAAACATCCTTGAAAGTTTGGAAGCACTGCTGCTTGCAAATGGGCCCATTAAAAGCAGATAAATCAATGGAAAACGCATAAAAAAGTCTCATTTATCATAAGATGTGTTGGACAGTGTTTTGAGTTTTACATACATTTATTCTAGAAATCTGTTTATCTGTGCAACATTTCTGAACAAAATACTTTGTGATGAACTGTTCTCTCTACTTGAATCTATATGGAAAGCAATTAAATTCAAACCCCAAAGACAAAACGTGATGAACGCAGCAGCCACACTATTGATTTGGCATCTCGCCACTGCCCTTCTCCCTCTTGTGTCTCATCTCCATAGGCCCTAAAAGGCAGACACCTCCTACTCTTATGAATCTTGTTTCTTGTGTCTTCTACCAAGACAAATTCCCCGACTATTCTCTGAAGACTGCAGATGATGAGATGCTGGCAAAATCTCTGGAGGTGGTTAGAAATGCTGTCCCTGGAGACAATGACCTTCCTCAGTCCTGTCAGCATGTGACCCAAATGCTAAAGACGTACAATGCACTGTCTCCCAGTCTGGACGTGTTCATAGTGGGAGAGGTGTGGCAGTGAGTACTCGAGTGAGGGGAGATAGAGGAAAACTGAGGAAGCAGTTCAACTGTGTCCACACTATAGTCAAAGTTGCCTCAGTGTGAGTGCCATGTCCCACGCCCTTTTCTATTCTCAGCCCTTATCAGGTGGTGGGCAACTGTGGAGCCCAAGAGAGAGCAAGAATTTCATTTGTGCAAAGGGCCTGGCACATTAGTTTCTTAAAAGATATTCAGCAAACACGGCTACTGAATGACTAAATCTGCACATGTAAAACAATAGCTCCAGCCCCGTTGATAGACTGTTCCGGCATGTTCACAGTTGGGAGTGAAAGCTACATGGTCTCTTTGGTGATGAAGACCATTATTGATTACAGTCAGCAGGTTCAGATGAAGGTCCAAGGCCCAACGTCTACACAAGGCTGGCTGCATGTATGCAGCTCCCCCTTCTCCCAAATAGGTAGCTAGCCTTGGAATAATCAGTGATGCAATTGTCCGGTTTCATAGACTCCATTAGGAATTTGCCTAGGCAGCACTTTATTCCACATTGGGTAGGCCCTCCTAGAAAGCCCCTCCCTGCAAGAAGAGAAGCATGGACATGAAATCAGGAATTCTCTTAGAAGCACTCTGACAGGTTCACTTCAGCTTTTCTGCAAAGTGCCCAGGGATACACCTAGTAACTTCACACCCGAGGGCATGCGAACAGCTTGTGTTATAAACTCCTGCAAATAAGGATTTATTAGAAGAGAATCAAGTGACAGACTCGGAACTAAGGCAGCAGATGAAGAAGATCCTGAGGTTGGGAGAGATCTTGACTTTTATCAAGGTCAACACTGAGATGTATTGATCCAAGAGGTAAATATTGATGGAGACTCAGGAGGTCAATATTTGCCCCAAGGAAAAATAAATCTTCCCAGTGACCCCCACACTGAAATCTGTATTCAGTAGACTCAGTTCCAAAATGAATTAGCTGTGACATAGATTAAGATACCGTTTCATTAGCTGTCTGGGGCATTGGAAAGCAATATTAATACCAAGCACTTCATGTTCAAAGTACTTTCCAAACATTCATTAAAGTGTACCATCCTCTGCCAGATGCATGAGAGTGTTGCTCTCCCAACTCAACAGATGGGTCGTTAGAGCCAAGAACAGGTTAAATAATTTTACCTAGGCTACAGAAAAAGCAGCACAAGAATGGGAAGATGGATTGGGAATAAGGAGGGGTTGGGAATTCTGGGGGGAGTAGCAAATGTCTATAGGTCAGTGCCTTAATTAAAGTTCCTGGTAAAATCATAAGTCCACTTTATTTAATTATTTTAATTTAGTTAACTTAGTTCCCACTGTTGACAAATCTATTTGGGCCAATCAATTGAATTGCTTATTTACAGGAACGGATTTGGGGTTTTATACACCATAAGCTCTATCTTTTGAACACTGGCATTGGACTCTTAAGCAGTGAAGGATACACTGGTGGTCCCAGGGAGGGAGCAGAGTCATGGTCTATTCTTCTATTTGCACAATAGTCATCATCAGACTGCAATTTCCAGGAATTCCTTGGCTTTCATGGTGGGGTCCTGGGATGCTGGTACTGAGACACATCAGAAAATGCTAACATACAAGCAATCAGCATTTGAATGCATGGATCCAATTATTCTTTTTTTGTATTATCTCAAAAGTGAATTTTAAATATTATAAAGTTTTGATTATCTTTGCTAACGGAGAGGACAGAGATACAGATAATTCCAAAACATCAGCCAAGCCAACTATCTTATTTCCTTCTGACTTTGGAACACATTATTTTCCCACATAGCACGTTGGCCTCATTATGGTTTTCTTTGGATAGTTACCATTGGGAAATAACGAGCAATTCCAGAGCACCAGCAAATGAGAGCCAGAAAAGAGGCAGAAAGCAACATGTTCTGGGTATCGAGACAGTGGCCTTGATGATGTGCTCTGTGTAATCTGCAGACAGGTACTCGAGTTGATGGGGCTCAACTTTCAGAATTTCGACTTTTCAAAGTTATTTCAATCGACTTTAAATCTGCTGGAGGGAAGGAGTGGGGTCTTAATAGCATGTGCACTCCATTCACTTGGAAAGAAACAATTTGACTTCAATAGATATAAATGGTTAGCCGCTGCCAGGGTCTGAAAAAAGAATTAGGAGTCCTGACCCCCACCAGTTTAGGTACATCATTGTTTTACCCTCCAATAGGATTTTAGAATTGCCCAGGGAAGTAGGTGATACCAACACAATTTGGTACTGTTACAACAGGGTAATTTGACTGACAATATGGTGCAGACAAATGAAAGTGTTTACAGGGTTTAATATTTAATAATGTAAAATGAAAAAGTCGGCAAGAGCAGGCAGGAGATGAAAAGATCTGTAGCGAGTCAGAATTTCTGCCGACTGTCAGAGCAGCCATGTCTCCTGGGGGTCTGGATGAGCAAGGAGCTGTTCTGCAGAAATTGTTATCTTGGGCGTATTGATTGTGTGTGCTCCAGTCAAACCATCAGCTTCTCCCTCCTGCCTTTATTTTATTTTTTCTTTTTTACATCACAGCATCCTCCTAAACCTCACACCGCTTGGCCTTCAAACTCTAGGCTGCAGGGCTGTGGAGTGCTCAGCGGAGGCGGTGGGGGTGTGCCTGGACAGGCTAGTTCTGTCTGCGAGTGGCAGCTCGATGGCCAGCCTCTCGGTACAGTTCTGGGCTCCTTCCCCAGGTGCCTGTGTGTGGGGAGGCCAGAGGAACGCCACAGAGCCTTCCCTTAACCAACTCAGATGAGATACTGACAGACTTGCTCTTACAAATGGCACTTGCTTGTTCCATGGCAAGTTACTTGCACCTGTAAACACCTCAGCTTTCTCATTTGTAAAATGGGAATACAGAACTGTCTGGAAGACTAAATGAGATAATAAACAAAACGCTCAGCACACTTTCAGGCACAGAGCCATCTTCAGTGAGTGGCAGCTGCTGCTATCAACACTTTCCCCAGAAATCTGTGGATTAAACAAGGGAGTGTCTGAATTCTAGATTGTCTAGCCCTCAACCCAGACTCCTGGAATTCTTGAGCTAAAAGGGCCCTCGCAAGGTTATCTCATCCATTCACCTGCCTTCCCTCGGCTCAGACAGATGACAGTCTCTTTACTACATTAGAAAAGATTCTGGAACTTTCTCTGATCTAGAGACTCGTGTTTGCACACCCCCACAGTGCCTTGAGTACCTCCTACACCTTTCCACCTGTTATGGGGATCCGAGAGGCTATGGAGAAGACACTGGAACCGCCCTACAGAGCTCCCTCTTGTGTATGTAGAATTATTCCATCGCCATTAGCCGTTCCTCAGCAACTGTATTTTCCTCAGTGCTCTTTCACCACACCCGCAGATGTCTCCAAGGAACACTGCAACTTCTACCTGCCCCTCAAGCCTTGGAGTGCCGGACAGCTCTGTGCTAAGGAGGGAGGTCAAAGTCCCAACAGGGAGTGGCTTCCCACGTTGGCCTCCAGACACTTCAGGAGCCATCTTGCAATAATAACAACAATGATAAAACACACCTTCATACTGCCCTTTTCTATATTTGAAAATCTCCCACATTTCATTGGATCTTCCCAGCACCCCATCTCAGAGATGAGGAAGCAGGTATACAGAAAAGTCAGGTGCTTTGGCCAAGGTCATATGATTAGAATGAGGAAATGGCCACTTAAACCCAAGTCTTCTGAGGCCAAGCCCTCTGCTCTTTTCTTCATCTTACACAGCAAACGAAAATGACGGTGGTTCTCAGCTGGAGGCTGTTTTCCCCCACTCCTTCCCCAGGGATGTTTGGCAATGTCTGGAGACATTTTTGTTTGTCACAATTGTGGGGGGGGGCGGTGGTTGCTACTGGCATCTAGTGAGCAGAGGCCGAAGATGCTGCTAAACATCCTACAATGCACGAGACACATCACAACAAACAATTATCCAGCCCAAAATACCAACAGCGCCTAGGTTGACAAACGCTGCCCTAGACTTATCATAAGGGGCAAGTAACAGGCCCCAGTGACCTGTCGTCAGCCCAGCCCTGCCTTGCCTACTGTCCCAGTGGGCCCATCTGCTGTCCCCAGAGGAACTTCATGGACGTTTGCAAAGGACTTCGGCATACTCAGAAGAAAGTTAATAGTTAAATGCAGAGTTGTTGGATTTTGTAAAGCTGCTGGGAAAGTTATTTTCATTTTGCTTTTTAAATTAGTTTGGGAGTTGGTGTTCTTTACATAATTACAAGCTGACAAACATGCTTCTGTATTTTTTTTTAATTAACAGATATTTGTATTCAAGTTCTCCAAATTACACACCGCAGCTTGCACATTACAGGACAGCTGCCACGCTCCAGATGTGGGCAATAACCAGAACATGGTAATGGCAAAATGCAAAAGAAAGGAAGGAAAAGAGAAGAAAAAGTTAATGTATCTGGATGGAGAAGAGCAATTTTAGTCAACGTGTTTGGATTTTTTACGGAGATGAATATCTTAGATTCTCCCAAATTTTCGGCTCCGTTTGAACACTCGGGATGAAGCGTCTGGGTCATTCGTTGCTGCCATCAAAGGCTCACCAGTGCCTTGTAAAAGCAGATTACAGATAAAATGGGGCACATATAAATGTTAACAGTGCGCCGGAGAAACTATTCAAATTGCTCCTGTTTACAAGCACCTATTAAACGCGCTCAGCTCCTCATGAAGAACGCTGCTGTAAGATGGGAAGCTGTCGTATTTATTCATTTGGCCCATTTATAAGACTGCACCCCTTTGGTTCACTTTATCCCAGGAGTAGGCTCTCCGGAGCCCATGAATCAGGAATTGTACACAAAAGGAAT